TTTACTCCAAGCGCAACCTATTTTAGCGGACCAAGTACCGTCCTTGGGTCATATACCGCGACTTTGTCGTCAAATGGCTGTTCATAACAGTCAGCCCTCGGTATATAAGACAGCTATATTGATTTTACATCAATTAGCGACAAGCGAGGTGAGTTGATCACCTGTATCAGTTGCATAGAATGATCTGCAATTAGCAATTACGTTGCTAATTCTATTCGATCAATTTTACTCACCTTCAGATTTGTATCTCATCTATATGCCAAACGGAATGCATAAGTCCATTAAAGCACGCGATGCAATCGAGAAGGGACATGATCGCGATAGCATGCGAGACGCTGAATCGATTATTTTCAACGAATGAAGATAGACTTATCAAACAGGTAAATATTTTACTTGGTAAATGATGTAAATATGTAAAGAGAGGACTTGCATGATGAGATTTGCACTATTTTGTTACCGCATAGGCATTGGACGCCGAAATGGTACCATATCTCTTGAATATATTGGAAGGCCGATTAGATATCGTTGAAAACCCTGCCACAACCAAAGCACAAATAGTAAAAGCTTTAAAAGCTATGGCGAAAAGTTTACTTCTTGGTGAAAAAGTTAATGCCATTCTGGAAAAGTCGAGTGTATGGGCAGAGTATAAGGATCAACGGCACGATCTGTTTATTTCAAATAATACCAGTTCTGGTTATCTTACAGGTATAATATAAGTAAATAACTTTAATGCATTGCTTAAAACTGAGTATTTTTTTAAATTATTCAATTGTGTGTGTGTATTTGATTGTTATTTAGCTGGAACACCTGTATCCGCTGGCTATTTGACAGCAGGGCCGAGTACAACTTTAACCACGGGCCCACCGCCAGTAGACAAAGAAGATAGTTTAATTAATAGAAACGATAGCATCTGATATAGATAACATTGTAAGTGGTACAAAAGGCAGTAAGAACATTAATACTGAGAGATTCCTGTCGGTATAATACTGGTAATACCGGTATA